TAATTACTACTACCACTTGGCTTTGCATGACTTAATTATGGCTGCAATCACTTGGTTTTGTAATCACTAAAATTATGGTTTGGGCCTAAGTCCAGTTCTGTCTTTGCTCTCTTCCCCATGGAAGCAGGGAGAGACACTTTTATAGGAAAATAGATGGTGATTCAGGAACCAGTTTGTAACAATTCATTTTAAATGGCCTTAGTCAATGGGAAAATAAAACTGAACAGCCTGGCTTGAGAATAGGGCTAAATTTTTTCTTCCTTTTTAAGAAACCTGGCACCCTGAAACTGTAGGGTTGGTTTCCATGGATAATTCTAGTCTCATCATAAATGAAGCAAATCTCTTGTTTTCTCTTTTACTCTTGCTTTTATGCTAAACTTGTTAGAATTTATTGTTAACTTCTTAATTCATGGAGTATTGGTTTAACTAGAGCAAAGATTCTAGGTTCTTAATATCTCCTTTCCAGGTTGGTTTTGGAGAGAGAAGTCTTGGGGAGGCATACAGATTTTAGAGATTCTGAGGGCATAGTTTTACTTACTTTGGAGGCTTTATCAGAGTTTTATTGCTGAATTTTCTGGGTATACAGGAGATAATGTTTAGTCAAGTACAGAACACTGTCAAATTTCAGACCTGGCACAGTTATTTTTGTCTTGTGTAATCTTGGTTAAGTCATTTAATTTCAGTAGCCTTAGGTTCCTCATCTCTAAATAGAGATTAATATTAATATAAAAACTTCCTTCATGGGGCGTCTGTCAGAATCAAATGAAGTGCCAAAAAGAAAAAACAAACAGGGCCGGCCCAGTGGTGCAGCGGTTAAGTGCACATGTTCTGCTTGGTGGTCTGGGGTTTGCTGGTTAGGATCCCGAGTGCAGACATGGCACTGCTTGGCAAGCAATGCTGTGGTAGGCGTCCCACATATAAAGTAGAGGAAGATGGACACAGATGTTTGCTCAGGGCCAGTCTTCCTCAGCAAAAAGAGGAGGATTGGCAGCAGTTAGCTTAGGGCTAATCTTCCTCAAAGAAAAAAAGAAAAAAGAAACAAAAAACAAATGCAACAAATAAAAAACAGTTAAAAACATGGTAGACATTAAAGCAATTTATCAAGAATCATTTTCAATGTGAACGGTCTAAATACATCAATAAAAGACAGAGACTATCAGAGTGGGTGAAAAAACAAGAGCCAACTATATGTTGTTTACAAGAAATCCACTCTAAATAAAAAGACTTAGATTAAAATTAATGGGATGGAGAATGATATATCAAGCTAACACTACTCAAAGGAAAGCTGCAGTAGCTATATTAATTTCAAACAAAGCAGATTTGACAACAAGGAAAATTTTTAGAGATAAAGAGGGACATTATGTAAGGATAAAAGGGTCAGTTCTCCAAGAAGACACGAACCTAATAACAGAGTATCAAAATACATAGAGCAAAAACTGATAGAACTTCAAGGAGAAAAAACAAATGCCCTATTACAGTTGGAGACTTCAATACCGCCACTCTTTCAGTAATTGATACATAAAACAGACAGAAAATCAGTAAGGATATAGTTGACCAGAACCACTCTATCAATCAACTTGATCTAATTGACAGTAATAGAGTACTCCATCCAACAACAGCAGAATACACGTTCTTCTCAAGTTCGCATGGAACATTCACCAAGATAGACTACTTTCTGGCTCATAAAACACACCTTAACAAATTTAAAAGAATAGAAATCATACAAAGTATGCTGTCAGACCACAATGGAATTAAACTAGAAATCAATAACAGAAAGATAGCTGGAGGATCTCCAAATGTGTGGAGAAGGAGGGACCATAAGGAACACAGAACTAGAAAAAGCACACAGGAATTTATAGTCACTGTTTCCCTTTATGTGTTGGTGAAGGGAACACATTGGAGAGAGAAACGCTATCCTATTGTTAGATACAAAGAGGAAAATACCTGGCCTGGGATAAGATTTCATTACTCTCCCTGAGGATTAAGTTAGTAAGAACTCTCTTGTATCCCCTTGCAGAAACTGACCTTGTCCACAAATGTAGTCAATCCTCATTACTTGTGGATTCTGTATTTGTGAATTTTCTACTCCCTAAAATTTATTTGTAACCTCAAAATCAATGCTCACAGTGTTTTCATGGTCATTCATGGACCTGTGCAGAGCAGCGAAAGATCTGAGTTACCCAACTCACACATTCCCAGCTGAGGTCGAACAAAGTGATGCTCTGCCTTCTTATTTCAGCTCTCATACTACAGTTTCCTTTTCATGGTCTATTTATTGCCACGTCTTTGCATTTTTGTGCTTTTTGTTTCTTGGTGATTTTGTTATTTGAAATGACCTCCAAGCATAATGTTGAAATGCTATGTAGTTTTCCTAAGTGCAAGAAAACTATGATGTGCTTTATGGAGAAAATACATGTGTTAGATTAACTTCATTCAGGCATTAGTTATAGTATAGTTATAGTGCTGTTAGCTGCAAGTTCAATGTTAGTGAACCAACAACATATATTAAATAAGATGTCTTTAACAGACACAAATAAAACAAGGTTATGTATTGTTTCATTGATGAAAATGTGACCAGAGGCCTGAAGGAATATAACCTGTACTTCCTCTAGGAGCGATGGTTCAGAATTCACTAACTCACTGTTTATGGATGACTTTATAGAACATAACTACCTTGAATAAATGAGAATTGGCTGTAAGCTACAATTGTTGATACTTACTATACACTAGATACTGCACTTTGTTCTACTTACAGAAAATTTATTCAACAAATACATATGATTTCTTCTAATGTGTCAGACTTGTTCTAAGCATGAGGGAACAGCAGTGTATAAACCAAAGACCTCACCCTTCTTTCCTCATGGAGCTTATACTCTAGTAAGGACAGGGAGGAAATAGTCACATAACTGTATACTATTTTGGTGATGCTAAGGGCTATGTAGAAACCTTCCATGCTATCGTATATAGATTATGTAAACAAAACTCAGAGAAGTTACGATGTTGTTTATAGAAAACAAATCCAAATGAAAAGAATCAAAATTCAAGCTCAGGTTTTCTGGCCTCAAAGTCCATGCTCTTTCAACTAATTTACACTTGATGCTTCCCAAGCATGCACATGCTGCAGCTACTTGGTAGAACTGCTTCTAGCCCCAGTGAGGAAAACTATCTCAAAATGTAGTAATTTTAGATTGTAGAACAGTGGTTTTGAACACAGGGGCCAATTTTCCCTCCCCAGGGCACATTTGACAATATCTTGAGATATTTTTGGTTCTCATACTTGGGTAGGTGGTAACACTGGCATCTAGTGGGCAGAGACCAGAGATGGTGTTTAACATTCTACAAAGCAGAACAAAGAATTATCTGGCTCTAAGAGTGCTTGGGTGGAGAAACTCTGCTCTAGAGCCATGGAACTTGGAAAACTCCAGAAGAGCAAGATTCCCAACTAGCTAGCTCAGAACTCAGGTAGGAAAATAAAGGATCTGATCTCTTAGCTTCTAATGATCAGATTAATTGTTCAATTTGTCAGTTGTCATTGTCAATTTAAGATCTTCCTAAATCTGAAGTACTCTCATTTTAGATTCCAATGCATCTCTTTCCTAACAACCTCTTCCTTTCTAAGCTGCTTCAGAATTTTGAGTATTTAGAAACTGAGGAAGTGAAAATAAGAAGAAAAGGAAAGGAAGATATTAATGGCAGAAAAAATGGAGAGATAGACTGAAAAATAAGCATCTGAAAGAGAAACTTGAATGGCTCCCTCTTATGTTCTTCCTTCTTCCCTTCCTCTCATCCTTCTCTTAGTTGTCCCCCTCCCCTTCTTTTCAGCAGATATTTATTGAGTATTTTTACTGTGTTAGGCACAGTGTATAGATGAGATTATCTCTTGAGGGCACTTTATTACTAATAAGCATTGTATTGTCCAAAATACTTTTTACATTTATTATCTTATTTGAGTCTTTCTATAAGCTTCATTTCACAGATGAGTAAACTGAGATGCAGGCAGCACAAATGGTCTTGCCCAGGGTAATAATAGAACAAGAACTCATGTCTGTTCTGTTCTTTCCTCTGTATAATGCTGACATAGGTACGAAGCTTATGAGAATATGTGGTTTTATATTGCCCTACAGTTATGAGGGTATCAGAAATGGTTTATTTTGGATTATAAAGTCACACAAAACACATTTTTTAAAAAAGTTATGTACCGTATTGGGAATTCAGAAAAAAATCTACTTAAAACAACACTAAAATGAGTGTTCTGTTGAACTACTACTAGGTATCAAGCACTAACACAAAATAGCTCATCTAATTCCCCCAAATATCCTGTGAGCTAAATTGGTTTTACGCTGGATCTGATTATTTATGCTGAATAATGTTGCTATGCATGACTAAACTTAAAAGGAGTATAACAGTGACTAAAGCAAAATATATATATATATATATATATATATAGTGAGTGACCTTCCAATTGTGTTGTCTGTATTAACTGGTATTTAGCTCTAATGAATAAAGATCTCCACCAAATAACCCATTTTAATAATTTTGGTCTAAAACTTTGGTACACAAACAACCAAGATGTTGATTAACCACCTTGTATCCATGTTAAGTTTATTTATAGCTTGCATTTAAAGAGCAAGTGACAATTTTCTGATTAAATAATTTAAATCCAAATATTAATATTAGACGAGCAACTGTTTCTTTGGGGAATTCATCAGGAAAACCTACATTTCACCTCCTGCTCCGGCTCTCTTCTGAGTCAGACCACTTGTTACAACTGTTGGCTTTGATCGGTCCATTAGAAAAATAAAAAAGTTCTGGCAACCTCTAAGTCACAGATCTAAATGCTGTCTTATTCAGGGCTTGCCTCTTAATGTCACTTGGGACACTACTGGGAAACATAAGATGCCAAACTTCATGGAAAACTTGGAGCTGTCTCTCTTCCCCCAGTCCACAGTAGAACTTGCCTCGTGTTCTAAATTCTGTCTCTAAGGCAAACAAAACAGAGGTGATCCACTACAACCAAATTAATTCAGAGGCTAAGGCTCGAACGAGTGTGGACACCTCCAGATCCTGTAGGAGGTAAATTTGCTAAATAATGTAATTACTGTCATTTTTGCTTTTCAAGATGAATGAAGACCTGGTGAAAGCATTACCTCTGGAAAGGCTTGAAACCTGAAGAGATGAGTTGAAAGTTATGCACATTCTGTGAGCTTATTTTATTTTCTAATTCTCTTAGGAGCCCAGTTTGCTCTTTCATGTCTGTGGATGCATGCTTATGATAACTTACTTCTTGTTAGTGATTTTTGATTGTGAACTCATTTAGAGGAAATTTGTTCACGGACCTGGGTTTAAGTTGTGTTTCTCTTGGGAGAATGTGTGTTTGCCTCTGCCAGTTACCCAGGGTAACTACCAAGCTCAAAATAAATGATCCTTTTGAGGGTTTTAGGAAAACTGATTGTTTGAATTTAGTCTCCAGATGTACTTAATGGTTTCTGGTAACAAAATCTCAGCTAAGATTTCTTGCTGAGTCTTGTGTGGGTGATTTTGTTTTAATTCTCCTTTTCAGTGAGAACGTAGACATTTGGGTACACAGATTTATGCAGAGGTTTCCTAACACACATCCAAATTCGGACAGAGTCTATTCTCTGTCTCCTGTTATCTACAGCTATCAATTCTGACCATCAGAATTGAAGCTCAAGGACCAGATATGGGCAACTAGTTGGTATCAGAGTTCACTTCCCTCTCTGGATTCCTATCTATCTTTAATTTTTTTGCTTCTGAGAATTTTACCAGTTTCCTCAACTTAGATATATTTACAATTAGCTATATTTACAATTACAGTTAGCACTATTTTGTTATTCCTAGTGGGACAATTTTTCAAAGCGTCTATTTTACAATACTGGCAGAAATTAATGATTACTCTCTAAGCTTTTATAACAGTCTAACATATTTTTTTATAAACTTTTTCATTTAACAATATATTCAGCTATCTTCTCATATCAGTATGTATAAATTGCCCCCTTTTTTTGAATGGCTTAGTAATGTTAAATGCTATAGATAAACCATTATTTATCTAACAAGTTTCCTACTGATGGATATTTAGGTTGTTTTCAGTTTTTTGTTATTACAAAAAACTCCCCCAATCTATATCTATATCTACCTATCTATCTATCTATTTGCAGATTTGGATATCTAGATTAAATCTCTAGATGTAGAATTGCTAGGTTAAAGGATATGATACTCAAATTTTGATGTTTATTTCCAATTTGCTTTTCAGAGTTTGCAACAACTAATTTGAGAGAGAAAGAGAAAATCAGTGTGCCTGAATCCTCATTGCCTTCTCTACTTTGGGTATTACTGAGCACATTATTATTAATTTGAGAGAATGGTTTGTTTCTTAACTTTATTCTAGAATTTATTCCATGCAGACAAAACATATTACAGAAATACTCATGGAATGTTTTTAATAGACATTTTTCAGGCCAGATGAGGAAGTGATTTGAACCACTTTTTCTCATATATGACTGTTTAGGGCAATGCCTTTAGATCTCTCATCTGACTGTGAGTGTCCTAACTGCTTGGAGGGCACTCAGAACGAGTCTAATTGGAACCCATGTTCTAACAAGAGTGGTAATGACTCTCTATATTCAAGACCAAGAAAGAAATCCATGTCTGCTTCCAGCATGCAGTGCTTTACTTCTCAGTGTTGTTCTACCAGGCCAGAGAACAACATCGGAGAAGACTCAGTGTTTCCTCCCTCAGAGGAGGAAAGCTATGTTGAGTCTTTTCAAAACAATCATCTCAGTCTGAACCGTGAGGACATTACAAGGAAAATCAGACCATTGAGAGAGCTGACTGTCCAGGAGTTACTGAATGAATTTGGGGATAGTGGGAAGTTCCCACCAAACTCCATGTCCGTGGGTCACTTTAGAGATCATGTGGTAATGAAGTTCAGAAGAGCTCTGTATTATTCTGGAATTTGGGTGACACATGTCCAAGGCTACAGACTTGAAAAGCACTTGTCAGCTAATTATTTCAAAAGAAACCCTGGTCGCCTACACCGGCTAGTCCCTTGGCTGAAACGGGAACTAACAGCCGTTTATGGAGATTATGGCTACACAGTGAAGAATATCCTAGCCGCCATTCTCCACCACATGACAGAATGTGATCTGGACAGTGAGCTCTTCGTTCACCTCTTAGAACCTTATCTCCAACAACACACCCACCATTTTCTGCATGAATTTATCAGTTTTGTTCATTCCCCTTACAACATGGAGACCTATGACCAACGAGCCATCTATCAATGTCCTTCTGCTTCACCACGGGTAAAAAAGATGTCCATGGCCTCAGTTCCCGCTTCGCCTTTGCCTAAGGATCAGGCTTTACTGGCATCTCAACATGATACAAAGCAGCCTAAAAAACACCAGGGCCAATGCAATAATGAGCAAAGGCCTCTGTCAGGCTTGAAACACTTTCCAAATGGTAACTCTACCTTGAAGACAGCTGAAATCCCGCTACACACTCATAAAACAGCAAGTAAAATCCATGCTTGGATCAAAGACAAACCAGAATCAGGCGATCACAAAGGCACAATTTCTACTGATAATTTGCTCCTGAACTGGGTCACACCAAGGGAAAGCAGCCCAGGCTTACTGAATTGCAAAAAAAATGTTCAAGAGAAGAAGACAGACGGGACAAGGTTGCTTCCTGGTCGTGTCCAGGGTCTGGGAAAGAGAGAAACAACTGCACGCACCTTCAGTTCCCCAGCAATTTTTAATCAGGGACAGCCAGAGAAGCACAGTCTACGAGAAAGAAGGGGTTTGAGAGTTGGCCAGCAGATCAATTTCCAGAAAAAAGAAGCAGAAGAAAACAAATATTCAAGTTCTTCACCAACGATCTTTCAGAGAAGACTGTCCAGAGAAAGATCCTTGATAAGTTGCAAATCCAGAAAGAGGGACCCCTCTTACAGCTGCACCTCAGAAACTGCCTTTTCTTCTAAGAGAGATGGTAGGAAAGTGGGCTCTTTCAGAAAAAAGAGGACAAAGTGCAGACAATCCTCCCAATTTGCAGAAGCTGGTTCACATTACAGTAGAAGTATCCAAAGACGATCAAGGTTCAGTACTCACAGATCTAAATCCTGGTGTGTTGGATTTACAAAGGGAACTGTAAGCAGAGAATCAAGTAATCTCTCTCTGAAAGGAAGCCTCAAAAGTGAATGCCTCGCCCACAATATATGCTGTGAGCCCTCCAAAGAAAAGAATGTGCATGGCTATGAGTCAAACAATGGGAGGGCATCTTCAACTCAATATGTGAAGCTTCTTTCAACTGCTGGGAAGAGACCTTCTAAAAGAGAAGTTGCTTCCCAAGCTGGAAGCCACTGTGACAATCTCACATGCCTACAGACTGAGGAACACAAATCCCCAGGTAAACAAGAGATGAAGCAAAAAGCCACATTTCCTACAGCTAGAAAAGCCAGAAGAGATAGGCACAGAAAAAACAAATGCCAGTGTCCAGATGTACAAACCACAGAGGACGTCAGTGATGAAGTGGGGGATCTGAATGGTCTAAGACAAATGAGTAGTCTTTCTGAGTGTGTACCTTCTTGCAGGGGGCAAATCCAAAAGAAAAAGCAGAATTCAAGCCTTCAGAAACATCACCAGGCCAAGAATGAACATAAAAGAGACAAAGTATCAGAAACACAGAGGTGCAAATTGTTTTGAAAGGCAAATCGATCTATTCAACTAGCCACGAAGGATCTTTGAAAGTATGAATATAATCTGAAAAAGATTTTTAAAAAGATTCATCCCACCACTTTGTAACTGGAACTAAAAGCCTGATGATTAAATTGAAGTCTGCCTTTGGAGACAAATGCATGTCATTAAATTGACCATATGTGTAAATATTATTTCTGTCTTCTTTTTATCATATGAATTGAATTCTTAAAATATTTAACTTATTTTTCAGTTCCAAGATTTGACCATGAAGATTGGCTGCCAAAAGTTGCAAACACCTCAAAGACTATACTAACGATAGGAGTATATGTTGCTTAGCACAAGATATGCACATTAAGTATTACAAGACACAAATTTTACTTTAAATATATATATATTCCAGACCTATTTTGTTTTCCATCCATGGAAAATAAGGAGGTGTGGTCACTGTCAAGATATAATTATTGCCTTCAAGTATTTCACAATCTAGTTGTGAAAAATAGATGCAAATAAAAAGGAAAAAATGGACGTCTATGGGATCTTAGGCACTACTTTCCTATCTGCCCACCCTGAAAACTGCACCTTCATGTCCCCTGACATCTAAATAGCTTCCTTAAAAGCTGCTACATTTTTAGATCACTCTGATGCCGTCCCCACTGTAATCTGGTCCGGTGGTGGTAACTATACCTAAGCCAAGCTAATCATAGTATTTTACCCCTCTGGTCACACAATTGATGAGTCCGGTGGTACTCAAGTCGTAGTACTTCCCTGAGATTTTTCAAACTGGTTCTGATAAAGAGAGTCAGTCTCTCTCCTTACTATCAGCTAGTAAAAGGTTTAAAGTTGGGATACTGTTAAGAGCTTTATTTCTAAATTTGTGAAGAAAGCCAGTTTGAGGTAAGAGAGGAGAAAGCAAAGCAGAAAAAAAGAAAGATAAGTCACGAGGATAGAGTCTTAGAGTCAGGATCTGGATCTTCTAGAACTTGAGCTGCCCTTTTGCCCTTCACATGGTTTTATTTTTTGATTTTTATTATTTTATTTTATTTTATTGAGGTCATAATAGTTTATAACATTGTGGAATTTCAGTTGTACATTATTACTTGTCAATCACCATATACATGTGCCCCTTTACCCCTTATGCACACCCCCAACCCTTTTCCCCTCTGGTAACCACTAATCTGTTCTCTTTGTCTATGTATTTGTTTATCTTCCACATATGAGTGAAATCACACAGTGTTTGTCTTTCTCGGTATGGCTTATTTCGTTTAACATAATACCTGCAAGTTCCATCCATGTTGTTACAAATGGGACGATTTTGTCACTTTTTATGGCTGAGCAGTATTCCATTGTATATATTTACCACATCTTCTTTATCCATTCATCAGCTGATGGGCACTTGGATTGCTTGCATGTCTTGGCTATTGTGAATAATGCTGCAATGAACATAAAGGTGCATAAGTCTCTTTGAATTGTTGATTTCAAGTTCTTTGAATAAATACACAGTAGTGGAATAGGTGGGTCATATGGTATTTCTATTTTTAATTTTTTCAGAACTCTCCATACTGTTTTCCATAGTGGCTGCACCAGTTTACATTCCCACCAGCAGTGTATGAGGTTTCTCTTTTCTCCACATCCTCTCCAACATTTGCTATTTTTTGTCTTCGTGATTATAGCCATTCTAAAAGGTGTAAGGTGATATCTCATTGTTTTGATTTGCATTTCCCTAATGATTAGTGATGTTGAAAATGTTTTCATGTGCCTGTTGGCCATCTGTATATCTTCTTTGGAAAAATATCTGTTCATATCCTCTGCTTACTTTTTGATTGGTTTTTTTGGGTTTTTTTGGTTGAGTTGTGTGAGTTCTTTATCTATTTTGGACATTAACCTCTTGTCAGATATGTGATTTGCAAATACTTTCTCCCATTTGGTGGGTTGTCTTCTCATTTTGTTCATGGTTTCCTTTGCCTTTTAGAAGCTCTTTAGTCTGATGAAGTCACATTTCTTTGTTTTTTCTTGTTATCCTTGCCCAAGTAGACATGGTATTAAAAAAATTCTTCTAAGACCAATGTTAAAGAGTGTACTGCCTATATTTTCTTCTAGGAGTTTTATGGTTTCACATCTTACCTTCAAGTCTTCAATCTGTTTTGAGTTAATTTTTGTGTATGTCGAAAGATAATGGTCTACTTTCATTCTTTTGCATGGGGCTGTCCAGTTTTCCCAACACCATTTATTGAAGAGACTTTCCTTTCTCCATTGTATGTTCCTGGCTCATTTATTAAAGATTACATGCTCATAGATGGTGGTTTTACTTCTGGGATTTCAATTCTGTTCCATTGATCTGTGTGTCTTTTTGTGTGCCAGTACCATGCTGTTTTGAGTATCATAGCTTTGTAGTATATATTGAGTCAGGGATTGTGATGCCTCCAGCTTTGTTCTTTTTTTGTCAGGATTGCTTTAGTTATTTGGGGTCTTTTGTTGCCCCATATGAAGTTGAGGATTCTTTGTTCCATTCCTGTGAAGAATGTCATTGGGATTCTGTTAGAGAGTGCATCGAATCTGTAGATTGCTGTAGGTAGCACGGACATTTCAACTATGTTTATTGTTCCAATCCATGTGCATGGAATATCTTTGCATTTCTTTATGTCATCATTGACGTCTTTCAATAATGCCTTATAGTTTTCATTGTATAGGTCTTTCACCTGCTTGGTTGAATTTATTCCTAAATATTTTATTCTTTTCGTTGTGATTGTAAATGGAATTGTGTTCTTAAGTTCTCTTTCTGCTAGTTCACTATTAGAGTATAGAAATGCAACTGATTTTTGTAAGTTTATTTTGTACCCTGCAATATTGCTGTAGTTGTTGATTATCGTAATAGTTTTCCAATGGATTCTTTAGGGTTTTCCATATATAAAATCATGTAATCTGCAAACAGCAAGAGTTTCACTACTTCCTTGCCAATTTGGATACCTTTTATTTCATTTTCTTGCCTAATTGCTCTGGCCAAAACCTCCAGTAGTATGTTGAATAAGAGTGGCAAGAGTGGGCACCCTTCTCTTGTTCCTGTTCTCAAAGGGATGGCTTTCAGTTTTTCCCCATTGAGTATGATGTTGGCTGTGGGTTTGTCATATATGGTCTTTATTATGTTGAGGTACTTTCCTTCTATACCCATTTTCTTAAGAGCCTTTAGTATAAATGGATGTTGGATCTTCTCAAATGCTTTCTCAGCATCTATTGAGATGATCATGTGGCTTTTATTCTCCATCTTATTAATGTGGTGTGCCGCATTGATTGACTTGCAGATGTTGAACCATCCATGCCTCCCTGGTATAAACCCCACTTGATCATGGTGTATGATTCTTTTGATGTATTACTGTATTAGGTTTCCCAACATTTTGTTGAGGATTTTTGCATCTTTGTTCATCAGCAATATTGGCTTGTAATTTTCCTTCTTTGTGTTGTCCTTGTCTGTCTTTGAGGTCAGGATGATGTTAGCCTTGTAAAATATGTTAGGAAGCCTTTCATCTTCTTCAATTTTTTGCAATAATTAGAGAAAGATAGGCACTAAATCTTTGAATGTTTGGTAGAATTCTCCAGAGAAGCTATCTGCTACTAGACTTTTATTTTTGGGGGAGGTTTTTTATTACTATTTCAATCTCTTTACTTGTGATTCATGTATTCAGATTCTCTATTTCTTCTTGGTCCAGGTTTGGGAGGTTGTATGAGCCTAAGAATTTAGCCATTTCTTCTAGATTGTCCAATTTGTTGGAATTTAGTTTTTCACAGTATTCTCCTATAGTCCTTTTTATTTCTGTAGTATCTGCTGTAATTCCTCCTCTTTCATTTCTAATTTTATTTACTTGAGCCTTCTCTCTTTTTTTCTTTGTGAATCTGGCAAAGGGTTTGTCAAATTTTTTTATCTTCTCAAAGAACAAGCTCTTGGTTTGATTGATCCTTTCTACTGTTTTTTTTCTTTGTTTCAATTTCATTTATTTCTGCTCTTTTATTATTTCCCTCCTGCTTCTGACTTTTGGCTTTGTTTGTTCTTCTTTTGCTAGTTCTGTTAGGTCTAGTTTAAGGTTACTTTTTTGAGATATTTCTCATTTGTTAAGGTGGGCCATAATTGCTATGAATTTCACTCTTAGGACCATTCTTGCTACATCCTATATGAGTTGTTACTGTGTGTTTCATTTTTATTTGTCTCCAGATATTTTTTGATTTCTTTTTTAATTTCTTCAATGATCCAATGGTTGTTCAGTAGCATGTTGTTTAGTTTCCACGTTTGTCACTTTTGCAGCCTTTTTCTTCTAGTTGATTTCTGGTTTCATAGCATTATGGTCAGAAAAGATGCTTGAAGTGATTTAAATCTTTTTAAATTTATTGAGACTTGCCTTGTTTCCCCGCATATGGTCTATCTTTGAGAATGTTCCCTGTGCACTTGAGAAGAATGCGCATTCTGCTGTTTTTCAGTGGAATGTTCTATACATATCTATTAAGTCCATCTGGTCTAGTTTTTCATTTAGCTCCACCATTTCCTTATTGACTTTCTGTCTGGTTGATCTATCTATTGAAGAAAGTGGGGTGTTAAGGTCCCCTACTATTATTCTGTTGCTGTTAATATCTCCTTTTAGGTCTGTTAATAGTTTCTTCATGTACTTTGATGCTCCTGTGTTGGGTGCATATGTATTTACAAGTTTTATGTCTTCTTGGTGGAGTGTCCCTTTTATCATTATATACTGTCCCTCTTTGTCTGTCATTGTCTTTTTTATCTTCAAGTCTACTTTGTCTGATATATGTATGGTAAAACTTGCTTTCTTTTGTTTGCCATTAGCTTGGAATATCATCTTCCATCCCCTTACTCTAAGCTTGTGTTTGTGTTTAGAGTTGAGATGTGTTTCCTGGAAGCAGCATAATGTTGGTTCTTGTTTTGTAATCCATCCAGCCACTCTTTTTTTTTTTTACTGGGGGATTCAATTCATTTATATGTAGAGTGATTAATGACATATGAGGGTGTAATGCTGCCATTTTATTACATATTTTCTGGTTGTTCTGTATTTCCCTTCTTTCTCATCCCATGTATTTCAGCCTGCCAATTCAATTTGGTGGCTCTTTATGATGGCTTTCTCAGTTTTCTCTCTTATTTATCATTTGTGTCTCTGTTCTGATTTTTTCTTTGGTGGTTACCATGAGGTTTGTATAAAAGATCTCA